TAGCTATTGTAAGTCGATATCTGAAAACAATAGATTTTAATAACGATGTCCCTGAATACATCCGAATATGTCGTTGTCAAATTTATTGGGCATTTGCGCTTATGGAGACGGCTGGCAAAGCTGTAACTTCTACTTTAACTTGCGTGCAATGTCTTATTCATTTAGATTTAATTGTGTAAGTCTTGCTAACTAGCATTTTTTGCACTTTCGTTCGCTCCGGGAACGGTCATGCATGATATCGCGGGATCTCTTAACAGCATGTTAGCTATAAATAAATGCTTTTTCCATAGCATAGCAGAAGTCGGCGCAGATTGATGATTAGGCCGATATGGGCCTGTTGCAGAATCTTTTCATCTTGTACACGACAAGCAAAGCTTCCAAAAATATGGGCCTAGGCCACGTCTTTATTCAAACCTGCACATGTTATATTAACTGTCCAGTCGCAGTCTCGTAAGAGTCTTCTCCATACTGTACATATAACAACAGATCATCACGGAGTCAATTCATATGCTGCTCAGTTTCAACGTCTAGCGCTTGACGCAGCATGGCTTNTGTATAAGAGACAGTTCCAGTACAGTCACTCACTCGTTCCAGTACAGTCACTCACTCGTTCCAGCACAGTCACTCACTCGTTCCAGCACAGTCACTCACTCGTTCCAGCACAGTCACAGCTAGTACTCAGGAAGCTGTGATTCTCTCGGCGTTCGTCGGACACGACGCTTGATGTAATTTTAATAAATTCGTTCAAATCTTGAAAAATTACACATGTTGCACAAGATAAATTCGAATATACATGGAACTAAGTGTATCTGTTATTGAAGATATAAATTAACAGAGATTCATCTAACCCCAATGGTACGATAAAATTAAAGCGAAATATTATTTGCTATATTCCTCTGTCAAGTCCAATTCCAAGGACACATAAATATCAATAGAATGTGAGGCGGGCTCGATATTAAGCCGGGTTGGGCAATCAAGAATTAAAGCAATTAGTAGGAGGAGCGCCGCCGGAATAACGGCCGAGCATAGCCGCGATAACGGCCAAAGGCAGCCGTGATAACGGTCAAACGAAACCGGGTCAAACTGTCAAAGGCAACCGGGATAACGGCGAAACGAAGCCGGGGCAAACGGTCAAAGACAACCGGGATAACGGTCAAACGAAGCCGGGGCAAACGATCAAAGGCAACCGGGATAACGGCCAAACGAATCCGGGAAAACGGTCAAAGGAAGCCAGCAATTCAAATGGCTCCTTAGCGGCACTGCAACAATAACTTGCGGTTAGGGCGCGTCGGAGGCGTGTTAGGGGCGTATTTTCGCCTAAATAGCCCGATTATGAATAAGAAGGTTAAAAGCATTAAAATAAGTAAGGAACCAAGAGGGAAGTGAGTGAAAAACATAATTGGGGACGCTTGGACCTCACATTGATCATGGATGATGGCATAATGGATTCACGTGTGATGCTTCGGCATAGGATTTCATGGCGACGCGCAGACGTCGGATTTCATGACGATGCTGGACGTCGGATTTTAACACATATATGTGGACTTGCACGAATTTAACCTCTAACTACACATGCTAAAAACAAGCACATGGCATCAACCCTAAGTATCTCTAGCGAAAAAGCCATAATTATCGTCACTTTCATCCTGTTACCCAATTGTAGGTCACAAAATATCTCAATAAGAGAATATAGAATTCTGTCATACCAGAATTTGTTCCACTTCCTGTATACCTAATATTTTATTTAGTAAATTATGAAGAATTCCTGCAATAAATAAATTATGTTAGCTGCCACGTGCCATTGAATTACTCCGCTACTCTTTGGTCAGCCTGATGAGATACAACGCGAGATATTTGCTCGTAGAAAATACGAATATTTTATTTTCTGAATTCATTTCATAACTTCATTAAAAGTTTAAAAATCGCAGCCGGCGATTGCACGCCTCGACTCCATTTTACTACGCATTTATGTCAGCACTTTACAATTTACGAATATTTTATAGGCTCACGCATTTGTCCAAGTGCATTAAAATACATTATTGATCGCGCCTCTGAGAGCGATAATATAATGACGAGGCAAATCCAACCTCCTGAGACTAATTTCATTCAGATTTAGTAAAGTCTGTTAAAAACTTTTATTAAAAAAGGAATATTATTAAAAACTATTATATTATTTGATTAAAAGGAATATTGTTTTTATTCATACCTTTTTCAGAGTTGTTTTTCCAGCTCAATGCTTTTTAATCAAACTTGTCTAAATGATGGATTCTACCCAAAATGTACAAATTTAGGTCTTTATCAGTGCATTCAATTCCGGAAAAAATTGTTCATGCAACGGAGCCTCTGCAGCGTGCATTAATTGTACCACACAAAATGCGCAAATGTTTGTAAAAAAATCAAAATGTTCTCACTGGCTTGAAGGCGACGCAGTTTCACGGACTATTATGTCGACACATTAAGTATAGAATGCTGTGAGCAAGTGTGTTTACTGTTAGGTAAACAATGTCAGCCTATGCAGCAGTTGGCAGCAGATATCGAGGCTCCCATGCTATGCCATGCAATGCTCAGTGATATCTCGGGAAGAATTTGCCAGCTCTCAACGCATAGCGAATGCAAACAAATAATGAAATGTTTACAAACGCTACTTCAAAGCGAGGATTTCATGAGAAAATCTGGCCGCTATCCGAGTCCAATCATGAGCACGGAGGCCAGTGGCATGAAACAACATTCTGTTAATTGATCGGCGCTGACAATCTATGCATTTTAACTTGAAGATAATAGATGTCTAAGCTTTAAATGTCGCAATATATATATTTATACTAGTAGAAAAAATTAGTTCAGAAATGATAATGTAGAGTAGCGACCAAATTATTAGAATTAGACTAAATATATATGCAGGGCACTCCTCGAAGCAGCAGTGCAGTTGAACTCTTGCGGTTACCCAATCATACCGAACCTATAGTGCAATAATGAAACAAGCAAAAGAACTGGATTAAATAAGATATCAAAATCACTGATAGTGAAATGTTTTCGGGCACTGAACTAAATTCACACACAAGTCCCTTCCTTTTTGTAGAACATGTCCCTGCTTTGAAACGTTACATGCAACTGCTATAACGAACAGTTGAGCTTTATACTAAAATACAGAACATCAAGGTAGAAGAATGCAAAGACAAATTGTTAAAGTAAAGTAAAAAACAAAGAAATAAAGCTGAGCTCTAACGTCCACCTTTAAAATGTTTCAGCATTGAATGAAAAAAATACGCAACGGCAAGCAAAAGCGTCTGCGAGAGCGCGAAAGTTCAAAGCTCTTTTCCAATACTAAAATAAGAATCATTTGAAAGCTTCAAAATAAAATAAAATAACGTCATTACCCAGAAAAAAAAGAATGGTACAAAGAACTGGGACAATCTTGTTAGTATAAAATTTATAAAAATGTTAGTGGAAATACAAAATTGATGTATAAGACTGCATGTATAGCAACTCAGTATGGGGTAGCATATAAGATACAAGTTAGGAGAACTGTTGATGAATGACATGAATTACTCGAGCGTGGAGTTTGCAAAAAAAAAAAAAGTGTTAGTTGGTCACAGTTAAATTGTCATAAGCGCTGTGTACAGGTGGTTTAGAACTGAGGGTTCAGACAGCTGGATAAACGCAGCTTAGGAAACAAAAATAATAACAGGAGCAGATGAGCACGTGATACTATGGAAACAATCGTATTAGAAATTTTGTTGCAGTGAAAAGCTGTGTTATAACTAAAAATGACAACAAAATTTTATTGGAGCGAGCACGTCTAAAAATGTCCATTAAAAATTTGGTTCAGCAAAAAAATTGCAGAAAACAGGCTTGCCGTCTAAAATCGAACACAATATTTACTGGTCGAATTCAAGCATAAAATATTCAATTCGGAAAACGTCTTGTGGCACACATAACTTATCTTGTATCCGTGCCATAATTGATGCCGTTTACTGTACAAATGTGCGAAAAGTCATTCGGATTAACAGTTGCGAGGCAGGAAGCTTTGACCATGGAAGAAATTTTTTTTTTTGTTGTTTTACCGTCGGGTTCATAAGTGCCCTATAATAGAAGAGGAAATAGTTTTATATGGTTTTTTACGTCGCATTATACTTTCAATCACTCGAATATTTTCCGACAATTGTAACCGTTACAGGAATCTCAATCCCGAATCATGCACAAAATGAATTAATTCACACTCATGGCTATTATATCTTCACAAACTCCAACTCCGTGCAGCTGATGCTGGCGATACTTAGAATTTAATATCAAGCTAGTCAGGGAACTCGATTACTACTTTCATTATTTCCAATTAGACGTTACAAATATTGAGCTCGTAAGTCACGACGCTACTGAGAGTGAAAGTGAGTGCAGGAGAGAAAGCAGCGCGAGAGAAAGGGAAGGGACAGCGAGCTTTGGATGAAAAGCCACACCCGTCAGACCGAGGAATATCATACCTATCAAGAATTCTTAAGCGAGATAATCAAACTATGTGCAATATAATGATCCGCTACAGGCACGTTAGTGCAAAATAAACTCGTACATCTACGGCACTGGGCCTATACTTTCAAAAAAAGTTAAGATATCGTAAGTTCATCAGCCAATCATTGACGGCCTTGTAAGCAAAATCCACCAATCATAGACAAGAAAATAGAGCGTAAGTACTTACGTTCACATAGCGAGCTTTGAAAGTATCCACCAATCATAGACAAGAAAATAGAGCGTAAGTACTTACGTTCACTTAGCGGGTAGTAGTACTTACGTTCACTTAGCGGGTTTTGAAAGTATGGGCCCTGATCGTTAGGTAATCAGCAATATTTTTAAGGTGCTTTTTTTAGAGACGCGCCGCACAAAAAAATGGAGCTTGCACACACTGGTACGTTTGTAGAGTACATATTGATAGAATGATAATGTTGATGAATAACAACACAACTGTGACCTGAATATCATGTTTGAATGAATACGTTGGCGGGAAAACAGACCTGCTTGAGTGTGACTGTCAGCGGCATAGCCACGAGCGGTCAAATTACGGTCGCCCCACGGTCGCCCAGGGGCCAAGTTTCGCGGCCGAGGCGGAGCACATGACCGGCCAACACCTTGCCTGGGGAAGGAGGGAGGGATATATGTTACGTAAGACAATGTATAACATATGTGTATTATGGGCAAATGATTTCAGTACCCGCAGCTAAATCATCCCAAACTTGAGAAACATTGTCGAATGATCACAGTACCTACATCCATCATTCCAAATGGGGAGTTGCGTATAGTCGGACGTCTTTCGAGCTTTTCAATGTTATACTAGAGATTTTCTTCCTTTTCCTGCAGATGACACTTTTTGATCCGGGGATCAAAGTCGTTATTATGAAGTCGTGAATAAAATAGAAATCAAATTTGAAATTTGAAAATTTATTAATTTTACAGACATGTATGAAACACTTCCTTACAGGCACGGCAAAATCTAAAAAAATGAATATTTAAAAAAAGGAAATTATGTTGCTAACCACCGAGCAATAATGCTAACCACCAATCAATGTTGCTAACCACCGAGCAATGCTGCTAACCTTCAAGAAATGTCGCCTTGGTGCCAGATGAAGCCACCTGCAGTCAATGCAATTTTGAATTGTTGATAAATTTGAGCAGAGGAGTCTGACGCAACTCTTGGTCGAGAATTAACTACGATTTGCCACATAATTTTATTAAACATCATGCACATGACGATGAAAATTAGAAGCAGTTTTAATATCAATTTTGAAATTACTGAATTTGACATGCATATTTTCTATAATAATCTCCATCAACATCTCAAATTTTAAACCATGCTTGAATCTCAGTTTATCATCATGCAGTTGCACCCAACATTAACTGACCGATGATTGCTGGGACTATCATCTATGCATGGGGATTTGACTCCAGCATCTCTTTGCAAGCTACCGAAATTGTCTGAACCTTTAGATAATTTTCAGAGTCATCTTCTGTTTCAATATTTTCATGTTGTATCCTATTTACGTGTATTATGTACTTATGTCCGCCAAAACTTTCACCATTCAATGCTTCTTATAACTTTAAATGAATGTTGTTTCATTCGAAAAGTCGTTATTATATTATACTTATTTGTTGAAACCTGCCTTTTGAACCATCAACGCTATCTGAAGAATATTTCGACTTCCTGAAACTTGTAATATTCTAATAATAAAAACTTTTAAATAAAAAATAATTTTCTAGTGTCATTAATCGTACGTATTATTCAGAAATATACATAAATACCTGGGGCCAAACTTTCAAAACTCGCTAAGTGAACGTAACTACTTACGCCCTATTTTCTTGTCTATGATTGGTGGATTTTGCTTGCGTGGCCGTCAATGATTGGCTGATGGACTTACGATCTCTTAACTTTTTTTGAAAGTATGGGCCCAGCTCGACCAAACTAAGTGTGCCGACATCTGCTTCTCATAATGCCGCACAACGATGGCATCCAGTACCCGAAACATAATATCGAATATATCCTAAATATGATTTTATAATAATATTCTTAACATCATAATCAAATATCAGATTAGAATCTTATTAATGATTTACAAAGAAAATACATCGATGTAATTCAGCAATCTAAACAAATTTTTTCATATACTCGCATGAATGAATCTCAACAATCATTTTCCTAGGAATTCAAAAGCGAAGAGAACTCCACAAAAATTCGACATATTTCAATTGAAAACGTTTCGGAGTCCAGCTATTTCGTCCGTTCGAAAAAATCTAGAACACAAATACAATCATAGTTAATAAATTTGGGATTGAAAAGAAAAAATACAGAAAGTAAAAATCTAAATTTACAGGCATACGGCAGAGTGATAAAGTAAATACCTATCTATTCACACTTTCTAATGGAAAAGAACTGTAAAGTTTGCGTTTAAACTAGGTTTCTCTTTTAAAATATTAAAGGATTCCTGTTGTTACTTGATTGCGATTTAAGCAATCTAGTGACATTAATATTCATTTTCCTTTATGGGTTACCTGTGAATTAACTACGGTTCAGCTGGTCCATATGTAGACACACACTCAGCAAGAGCCCAATGAATAAAAATTAACTCCCGCATAACCAGGAAAGGAACGTCTGAAAATGGCGGCCGCCGAGTCAGCTTTTTTTTGGATAAGCACAATTTCGATACTTGAGCATGAACGACTTGCTGCAGCCCTACAGTCTAGTAATGCATGGATGCGATGTCAGCAAAATAAAAGTCGAGAGCAACAATCTGCGCTAGATCATCGATCATCCAGCGTTGATATGTCAGCATGACACAAAATTGGCTTCTTCCTTAAGCTTCTGTACGTATGCGCGAAATCCAATAGCTTCGTGCGCACAAATGTAATATTGTATTATGTCGTTGTATTATAAATGATAATTACATGTGGAAATTATTATAATGTGTTGCGGCTGTGCTATAAACAAATATCTAAAATATCTTTGCTCTACTGCCGGAGAGCTGTGAATATTTACCATTTAAATTACATTCCAGTACTCGGTCAGCTCTTAATATTTTTACGCTTTATATCAAAGCCCAAAAATACTAAAAAATATTGTATTATAAAAATCTATTTGAATTTTGAGCAGGGTATAAATGTTCCATTATTTAAGGAAATGAGGCAAAATGTAAACCAAGTTAAAATATTTTGCTGCACATTGATTAATCATTTTCTTTTCAAATTGGCGAACCTATATACAGGGAATAAATATCAAGAATACATGGCCATCTCATAGGCTGGGCCTATACTTTCAAAAAAGTTAAGAGATCGTAAGTTCATCAGCCAATCATTGACGGCCTTTCAAGCAAAATCCACCAATCATAGACAAGAAAATAGAGCGTAAGTACTTACGTTCACTTAGCGAGTTTTGAAAGTATGGCCCAAGAACAAGTTACCGAACTTAAGTGCACTCAAGT